AAGTGTAAAGCTTTACAACTTTCTTCAAAGTATAAAGAAACTGAACTTGCTTCTCTCTTCCTTGCTAGCCTTATTTCTAGCTGTTTCACAGTGTGCTACAAGTCAAGATGAAACAAGCAGTCAGCATAGGCACAGTATTGTGACCACCAGTCAGTACAGTTCCTCGAAAAAATTATGACTATCAGTGATACAAGTAAGCATCACTTGTGTGTTGTCTCCTTCTTTACTCCTGGAGGCTGGTTTGCTGTTTACCTTACAAGTAAGGTCAGGTATATGAAACAGCAAATACACATCATGCATTATACAATTTGACCAAAATAGATAAAATACAGCAGAAGCTGGGGGATAGGATAAAGACCAAACAACAAACAAGAGAAACCTGGTAGCAGGGACATACCTTGGGTATAGCATGTGGTGGGCTATGTTGCAGGGTACATCGCATCCTGCACGGGGTATGGTGTCAGGCCCATTATTCAGGGCAGACCGAAGATTAGGAGGCATAAGGGACCGCAAGGTATGGTGGGAAGAAATAATTGCTTCTAGGACTGAGACATGGTTACATATTCTAGAGAGTGTCCAAGGAATGTAATAGAGGGCAACACACCATGAGGAGCACTGACACTGAGTCCCTAGAGCAAATATCCCCAGGGATGACAGGAAGGGACAGCCACACAGATGGAGGATGGGAATGCTACTGGCAAGGCAGGGATCAAGTACTCTCCAGGACTAGAGGTCTGCAGAGCAGAAAGGGAGAAAAAGACAACTGAGTAGGGATGAAGGAAAACTCTGCCAACAGAACCCGCAGCCAGGAAGCAGAACCCAGAAGGAAGGTTCCATGGAGGACCCAGAGGGTCAGATGTTCTGAGGCAGAAGGGCAGATGGCAGGCAGATTGTTGAGGTCAAGTCCCTTAGAGGAAGGCAGTAGACAGAAGCAGAAGATAATGCTTTGGACTCAGGGACTGAACACGGAGGACACTTAGCGAGAGGGGTGCAGAAAGACAGTGTGCCCAGAGAGAGAAAAGGACGCGAGATGCACAAGCGACGCGTCGGGAGCTCCGAAAGACAACCTGCGGCACGACGAAATGCTGTGCGACCGCAGTGCCTTCTGATGGAGCAGTCCAGCCGCAGGCCGGCTCCTCCCGGCACGAACCTGCCCGTCCCTCCGCTCACGGACGTCGCCGCGTCTCCCGGGAGCTGCGGCGGGGAGGGCCGTGCCGAGGGGCGGGCTCGTGTCCGTGGGGGACACCGCCCACCGTCATCCGTGGGGGGGACCCCACCCCTCCCCTTCCTCTCGGCCTTCGCTCCGGGAGGAACCGCCAGTTCCCCTTCTGCCTCCGTTCCTGATCAACCAGCCGGCGCTTCTCGGCTACTCGCGCCGCGTTCACTTCCAGGCCTCCGTTAGCATATTCTCTTCCTCACATTCTCCCCGTTCCATCCTCGCTACTCTCTCACAGCAGCTCCTCCTCTGCATCGTGTGAGGACGGGCATGCTCCTCTGCAGCCCCAGTCTCTTTTAGTAACACCCTCTTCCCCCAAAACACAGATAATATTTGTACCATACTCTCAGATCTCACTCTCTTGTTCACTTGTCTTCCCATACATTTTGTTTATCAGACTGTTTAGTATTAAACAATTTCTCCATAGTGCAGATCAGAAAGGAGATTCTTGGCCCCTTACAGTACAGCTGTCAGGGATGGGAACAAACTTCCTATCCTCTGAACTTCCACTGCATCATTTGAAAAATTTTAAAAAGCCTGTAAAACAAGTTCAGGCCAACTGCAACATGAGGTCATGTGGCACAGATAAATATATTTTGCTATCAAGGCATTTAATTATTAAAAAATGTATCCATCAACCAAACCACATGAGACAGACAAAGATGTAAAACATGAGCTGGACCTAAAGCATGATTTTCCCTTAGTCACTTAGATGACTTGCTTGTCTGGAAGTCATGATGCAAACTTCCTGTAATGCTCTCTCACTTTTCTGTTTTTCTAGATTATATAAAGATTTGCCTGAGGAGAGACTTTTCAGAAACCTGAATGTTGCATCCAAATTATATCTGAAGTACACTCATTTAAAGAAGATAAAGTATTACCTAAGTAGTTCTTATAGATCTTATATATCTATATATGTTACATATCTTAAGATATAAGTAGTTCTTTCCTTATGTCACCAGAAAAGAACTGTATGTCCTAGCCCCATGACATTTAAAGAAAGGAGGGATTAAGTTCCATCAGTGACTATTTCGGAAAATTAGAATCAGAATTTACAACCTGACTTTTGAAATAAAGCCAGTTTCATTTAGCTACATATAATTTCAGAATACTACAATTATTAAAGGGATTTAGTTAATTTATTTATATGAATCACCTCTGGTTTAAAATACAGCAATGAAAACTGGCTTCAAACGATTTTCCATACCTGAGCACACAAAAATTATAATGCAAGTCCCAGCATAATTTACATACTGCAGTGGGCCTCTCAAAGCATTCATCTGAAGAATCACATAATAGGTAAATGTCTAAATCCATATGCCATTCTGACTGCTGGCATGCTCCTTTTCCTTATGCCTTATCTCAGCATTGCCTAACTTATCAACCACACCATCTTCTTCACCCCTACCCCCCTTTCAAGTGAGCTGTCATATTCTCCAACGTACCTTCAAACAGTCCCTAGTCACGTAGTTAAGTGCATGTCAGTTCCCCAAATGAGTAACTGATGGCTTCCAGTGATTCAATAGTGCCCAAAATGGATAAACTTTACTGGTGAGTCAAAAAGCTTATAGTCTACACAATGTGAACTTGGGGATCGATGTAGGAACCTGAATACACCTAAAATAAATGCAGGAAATGTCTTGGTTTTATAGATGGAAATAGAAGGAAACCTTTGGCCCTTTTAGCAAACAGGAGTTTAGAAGAGATTTTCTGTTCTTACCAAACATTAGTGAGTTCTGTAAGATTTCGGCCAAAGGTAAGATTTCAGCTACCTTTAGAACCACCTTCGGAGTCAACCTTTTTGGAATACAAGCCTTTGGCCCCATCACTACACTTTGAAATAGCAACACTTACAAGTAGCTTCACAAGGAAATTAAAACAATAAGGACTCACCCTCTGAAAATGCTACCTTGTAGAGAGGAAAAGCAGGGTACATACTGGCTACACATATACTACTAGGCTCAAAAGCACTACCAAGTTTCCAGCCCAAAGGCTATGTCCAACCCATCATGGCCCAACTCTGTAACAAGACCCAGCATTACACAATCTATTTATCCTGCCATCCTCATTTTTGTTTCTATGAGCCATGACACACTCCAAAGATGTTTACCTGGACGGTCAGAGTAACAGATTTATGAGAATCCATTTTACGGGATGGAACTGTCCTCCTTAAAAACTTAGAGCCAGAGGGTGGGGTGATGAGAAGTAAAAATGTCTTCCTCTCAAAATCTGAAGTTTTTCCAGTTCTTTGGGACTGGGAATGGAGATAATACTTCCTTTTCCTGAAGACCAAAGATTACCTGTGTGAAGACATAAAAATGTCTTCAGCTGCTAGACTTCACCAATTGTGTTGGGCCTCAGGCACTGCACAGCTTGCTTCAGAAACTCCATGACAATCAGCGGTTTCTGCTCTCCTGCAATTAACTTCATCTAGTCTGCAAGTAAATGGCCTAAATTCAGATAATGGTAGACAGTCAAAAACCTGCTTTACTGATCTTTAAGATTAGCAATGTAGGTCTTACTGGCTATATGCTATCTACCCAAAATTGCTCATCTTCACACATTACCGCAATGAATCTCTAAGCATGGACAAATGCGTACTACAGTTCATCAAAACTGAACCAAAAGCCAACGCAAACATAATGTGCAGGGAAAAGAAGAAACTTCTAAGTCATTAGAAGAGTTTCAGATCCTCCCTTGGTATTACATGATCTCAGTAAGGTTCTAAAATATTGGAAGCTACTAATCTCTACAATACCATAGTTCTCAAAAGAAAATACTGTATCCTACCTGTCCTCTTCTGGTTGGAACCTTACTCCTGTGCATCTCCACAGCAGTGATAGGAATCAAAGAATCATTTAAGTTGGAAAATTTTTAAGAGCATTGAGTCCAACTGTTAACCTCGGGGATGGTGACTCCACCAACTCCCTGGACAGCCCATTCCAATGCTTGATAACCCTTTTGGAGAAGAAATTTTTCCTAATATCCAATCTAAACCTCCCCTGACACAACTCAAAGCTGTTTCCTCTTGTCCTGTCCCTCGCTCCCCAGGAGCAAAGCCCAATCCCCACCTGGCTCTACCCTCCTGTCAGGGCAAGAAGGTCCCTCCTGAGCCTCTGTTTCTCTAGGCTGAACCCTGCCACCTCGCTCAGCTGGTCTTTGTGCTCCAGACCCTTCCCCAGATCTGTTCCCTTCTCTGGACACACTCCAGTCTCTCAACGTCTGTCTTGTCGTGAGGGGCCAAAAACTGAACACAGGATTCAAGGTGCGGCCTCACGAGTGCCCAGCACAGGGGGGCAGTCACTCCCCTACACACTGGATTGTGTGCTATAAGCACACAAAGGAGTAGAGCACCTACTCCTGAATTTCCTAAGCACCGAGTACCCCAAAGAGTGATACTTTCTGTAGTGTACTTGAGAAGCTCACTACAACTTTCACAGATGCTAAATAGCAGTATGAACACACACTCAGTTTTATAATCCAACATTTGTATGAATAGCAGTAGACCAGCAACAGATCAGTGCAGAAAGCTAAGTCCATCTTGATGTAAAAGGAGATGTCTCAAGCAAGCATATTTGCAGGGAGCACTCTCTTTTGTAGAGGATGAGGAGGGAAGCCTGTAAGTTATCTGCAAAATGCACAATATCACACTAAAAAATAGCTGAGAAGAAAACAACAAGGCAAGGAAGCTTGTAAGAGTCGCTCTCATGCGACAGTGTCTCATGAGACAATGAAGAAATTGCGATTGCTCCCTGGAAAACAGAAATAGCAGCACAGAACAAACCTCCACTGTAGAAGTCCATTCATACGTTGAAGTCCACAGCTCAGGCCCTGCTCCTCTGGACCTCTGGACAGCCAGTCCATCATCCACGCCGGCAGGACCCAGCCCCGCGCCGGCCTCCCGGGGCCGCGCAGCACGCGGCCGGCCCTGCGCGGGAGAACCCGTAGCAGCGGGAAGGAGTCACGGCGGCAGTAGGACCCAGGGCGCCCTCGCTGTGGCAGGGGAGGGGCGAGAGCCACAGACCCGCCGCGCCGGAGCTCCGCAGCCGGCGGGACCAGACGGGCTGGGGCGGGTGTGTGCGGGCGTACGGGGACAGCAGCTGCGGTCCGGCGCGAGCACGGTCATCCTCTCGGTGAGCCGCGGGACGTGACTCAGGTACTGAGGCGGAGCCGTCGTGCGTGATGTTGCGGAGCGCTTGCCTGGCGCACGGGGCCGAACGCCGTGGGGAGTGCGGGGAGCGCGGGGATGGCGGGGGGTTCCCGAGACGCGTGAACCGACCTCAAAGCCCCCGGCTCACCCAGGGCGCATCTCCGCGTGGGGCTGTCCGGGCCGGCGGATGCGCCCGAGCGCCTTCTAAGCTTTGGGCGAGCGCAGCGCGGGAGGCGAGGGTTCATCCCTCGCCCAGAGGCTGCGCTGGGCGCCGGTGCGGCGGTGGGCACGACGCCGACTGTCCTCGCCCCCCTTGGCGCCACCTCACGAGGGACGGCGGGGCGCCGTCCCACCGGCTGCGTTTCTCCCCGCGCATGGGACCAAGAGGGCGCATCTTTTCCTCGGAAAACCCTCGTTGCCGTATGGGTCGCCCAACGTCCTCACAGCCAACGGCCTGAAAGCGCTGTCCGGGCGCAAAGCAGTGCTGGCGACCAAGCCCCGCTCTGCCCGCTACGGGAGAGCGCTGCCCCCAGCTTCTTCCCCCTTTGGCGCCGGGTCACGTCTCGGCTTGCGGTGCCGCCGGCCCCAGCGCACGTACAGTGCCACACAGGTGGCTCGTGAGACACCCGCGAGCTCCGGCTTTGTTCCCGTCATCCCTGGCCTCAGACCGTTACTGGGCAAAGAGGGTCCCCGCGAAAGCCTCGCCTCCGCGATCCCTTCGCTGCTGCTCACCTCCTGTTTCAGTGTCGAGCCCCGGGGGGTGAATTTCGAAGTTCTTTGTCACAGTGGTGACCGCTCAGATCCGTCAGAGCGAGCGACGTGCAGACTGAGGACCGTCCCTTCGTAAAGGACGTCGTGGCAGCCCCGGGCATGAACTCCGTTACTCGGTTCAGCGAGCACTCTGAGAACGGTGGGGAGCCTCCCTGGGCTTCGCGAGCATCGCCGAGTGCTCCGCGGGAGCCCCCTCGGCTACGTGCCCCCCCCCGGAGCGCCGCTCGGGCGGTCGTGGCCGTGGCCGTTGGCGGCGGCACGACCGCCACCATTGTTTTCCCGACCCCGCTCCTCCCTTGCGGGGCGGCCGCCGCAACCCCTTTCCACTTCTTGGGAAGGAGCCCATTTTTGCTGCTGCTCGCAATCCACCGGGAATGGTCTGCGGCTTGCCTTCTTCTAAGAGGTTCCGCGAAGAAAAAGTGAACAAAGGTGGAGTTGAATTGCAGCAATACAACTTCCTCTCGGGCACAGACCGTTAGCACTGGCTGTGGAAATGCGCTCCTCTTGGGCAGCGGGTTTGCGTGCTTTTTGGCTAAAGCAATTGGAAGACTGTTTAGTTTAGAATGTCTCAGAGTAAAGTCAAGTATGGTTTTGCAATGGTTATTTCAGAGGAAGCAGTGTGGCAGTCAGCCGCTTTAAAATGTAAACCAGAATCTATTAGTACAGTACACCTGTTGTGGTTCAGTCAGAAGTATAACACAAGATATATTATTTATATATTATATTTTTATATTTTATATATTATATCTTTATATTATTTTCTATATTATATTTTATATACTTTATATATTATAAAAATATTAAGGTGATGTTTTAAATTGTGACTGAAGTGGGAATTCACATATCTCAGTTATCTCACCCTATTATGCAGCTGCACTGTCCAAAGTGATTGTGTAAAATGACACCTCTGAGCCAGGCGATCTTTTCTCAATATATTCAGCTACATGTGCTAACCTGGCTTGAGATACAAGTGCATACAAGCACTTTATACATCACGGTAGTTCCATGGTATTCTGCAAAAATTAGCACATACGTCCAGCTGGTGACAGGACTAGACCCTTAATTAGTGTTTATTTAGCTCTGTCACTTTTTGGTTTTATACTAGGCAATATAAGGACACTTCTCCAAGAATTTTCTGGGTTTTTAAAGCTTCAACACATTGCAAAGCCACCACAGCTGCAGGGCTGAAATTAATTTTCACGATACATGAAAATTAGTTGTAAGTATTCAGCTGAAGTTGGGGGTCTGCAACTTATATTTTTGAAAGCAGCCAGATAATTCCAATACAACTGAAGGCATGTTTGTCACTTTTCTGTGAACACAGAAAGGGCACATGTTCTCTGGTCTTAAGGAGCTGCTGTGATTATGACATTAATGCACTTATGGTAATGGTTGTGGTGTAAAAAAACCTGTAGGCTTTAGAAAAATAAATCCGCTTCTCCAGAAAGTGGGCATTTGATATAGATACAATAACTATGGAGGTTGACATTGCTATCGTTATAGGACTAGTATATTTGTTTTCCCAAATAATGTAAAGAGCAGGGTTCCAACATTTTCATTATATGACATAAACAAACAAATAAATAGGCACAACTTTCCCTGTAGAGCACTTTACCCGGATAACAGAATCTAGACTGGTTAGTATTATTTGCTACACATAAAAATTGCAGTGTGTCATTGCAGTCTGCTAATAACTTGCAATGAATGTTACTCACTGTGCTGTAGCAGTGAACGCTTAAGACATTTTGCAGCTAAATGGGGACTGGAGATTGATTAATAGTTAAGTGTTGGTATGGAACGTTACTTACAGCTACAGACAGCACGGGATTATCCTAGGAGTTTTGAGAGAGAGATGAGAGTGGTGAAAGCTGGCAAACCCTTAAGAAAGGCAGCAGATCTGGAAAACCGTCTCTGATAAAACAGTGGAGGCCAAAATGGGAGAGTGGAAGTCCCTATGGGGCTTTTTGGGAAGGAGAGAAGGTCAGGGTAGGCATTGGCAAATATGGTAATGATTTTGTAGGAAACAGAAGTTTGCAGCAGCCTTTGGAATGAACGTGTAATTCAATTGGCTGATATTTAAGCAGGTAAGCCACCTGAAATGCACTAGTGCGTTATACCAGTGGCCCATCAAAATGGTTTCTATTAAGTACTTGAGTTGTAATAAATAAAATTTGATTTACAGATGTATGTATTAGTATTTAGAGAATCAGGAAAGACTTAAAGTCATGCTGAATAGGCAGATGTCCGTGATGTCAATGCAAAGTGTAGTTGTTCTAAATGCAGAGGGCTGTCACAAGGGTCAAGAATATTAAAATAAAAATACTTTTGCAGGAGTAATTGCCTGCAAAATTTCAGTAGAGTTGGTTAGTCTTAGGATTCTTCACTCAAAACCATGAAAAACATACATATTTTGTTTAGTCTGCTTAGATTTTAATACCCTTAAGGGGGCTAATACAGGAGGTTATGACTCCTATTAGCACAGTATTGAGCAGCATATGCTTTTCAATGTATTCATACCTCCAACACCCTATGAAGAGAGAATTATTATTTTCTTCACTCCACAGATAAGAAACTGAAGGAGGATCTCTACATTGCTCAGCTTAGACCATCTTCCTCATTTTGTAATTATACAGTTCTCAACCTGGTGGGGTTCCCAACTGAATTCCAGCCTGAACTGGGTTCCCCATCTGGAAATCCATGTTCTATTTTTGATTACTATTTTTTATTTGTATCATAGGAATTCAAGGTTGAGTAGATTTCTGCCACGGTTAGAAGAAATTGCTTCTGCTTGAGAATTCTTGAAATTAATTCTTCCTGAGAATGGGAAGTTCTTAAGATATATAGGTCCGCCTACATACTCACAAATGTCCTTTCTACCCATACTGCTGACCATGAAGTACTGCGATGTGGCCAATAAGAGTATTGGCTAAACACAAATAATAGATTCTTGCAATTTCTAGCTGCTCCTTTTTATAATCCAAATGCTCCCCTTTTATAGACATCACATCAAAACCACCACCCACAATGCTCCCGACAATCACCTAGTATTTCCTCCTAACTGAGCCTATACTAGTTTCCATAGCAACAGGAAGATAATATCAGGAAGATGAAACCCCATGTATTTAACTACATTTGTTCCCTTTGTTTTAGACATTACCAAAGCAAGAACCTATTCATGATAGAAGGAATCTGGAATAAATACTGACAATACTATCATGTCTGTTGTGGAGATACGAAACTGAGCTGCAGCCAGTTAAATGTAATCCTTTGCCTCTAAATAGGGCTGAGCTAGCAAAAGCAGAAAGCAAAGCAAGCTGTTGCAATAGTTATGCAGTCACCTCCTGTCTTAGCAGGCTTTGACAGCATCCCAGCACTGAAGTAAAATCATAAATAAAAACTTTACCTGTGCAAATCAACCACAAGCTCAGCTTTTCTAAAACTACTGCCCTTGTTTGCACATCTTACATGGGAACCTCTGCACTACTTCCTTATTAGTTCTTAAGGAGGTGAATACAATCTAGCCTAGTAAGGCACACAGCAAGAGGATGAAGTACATCTTCTGCTGTGTTCATTTCATTCTGGTTAACAGTTTTTAATTTTGGTGTGTTACCATGAACTACTGATGGACAAAACCAGATGAATAATATTAATGGTAGAATCACAGAATGGTTAGGGTTGAAAGGGACCTTAATGTTCTTCTTATTCCAAGCCCCCTGCCATGGGCAGGGACACCTTCCACTAGACCAAGCTGCACCAAGCCCCGTCCAACTTGGCCTTGGACACTTCCAAGGATGGGGCAGCCACAGCTTCTCTGGGCAACCTGTGCTACGGCCTCACCGCCCTCACACCCTCCTAATATCTAACCTAAACCTACTGTCTGTCAGTTTGAAGCCATTCCCCCTTGTCCTCTCACTACATGCCCTTGTAACAAGTCCCTCTCCAGCCTTCTTGTACCCCTTCAGGCACTGGAAGGCTGCAATAAGGATGCTCCAGAGCATCCTCTTCTCCAGGCTGATCAATCCCAATTCTCTCAGCCTTTCTTTTTGATGTATGCATGTGCAAATTAAACCACTTTTAAAAGGATGACATTTGAAGATCTGTTATGCTGGTTTATGGTTATTTTTAGCCAAATGTGGTAACAGACATGACAAAAAGAAGAGTAAATGGATGATACTATTTGTTTCCCCATAGGCTTATTTTTATGAATGCTGGAAAGTAGGCCAGGTTCCCTCACATCAGCAAGTCTTGCTCTTTCATCACAGCAGCACATAAAACCGTTTTAGAGACTGTTTCTCATAGTAAAGATGGTAAGTCCCGTAGGGCAGGTGGAACAGAATATGTCTCTTACAGGCCGCCTTGCTCTGCTGGGCATGAAAGGACGGCAACGGAGGAGGCTGTTTCCACCTCGTATAGGGGAACCGAGCTCCGGCCGCCGCCGAGCGCTGGGCGGGGGAAGCGGCCCCGGCCCCGCCCGGCCCGCGGGCAGCGGCCGCCCCTCGCCCAGTCACGTCCCGCACGTCTCAGTGCGGGGCCGCACAGCGCGGGTCACGCCGCCGGCGGGAGCGGCCTCCGCACCCCGCCCGCCCGGGGCTTCCCCCGGGCCGCACTCGCGGCGGACCTGGAGCGCCGGGTTCACTTCTGTCGCCCCGGAGAAACTCGAACGGTTCCCTTATGAAGGAACAAGCGAGCTGCCAGCTAACTGGTTCTTGACGGGCGCTTCCTCACGCAGATGTCGGGACTCTGCACTGTAGGACTGCAGAGGCTGCCCTTTGAACATCTTTCCTGTCGACGCAGTAAAGTAGACTCACCGCGCCTGTGTGCAGGAAGCAGCACGGGGGTGAATGCCATAAGCCACTGAATATCCCTATCCAGCACTTTAAGCAGTCTGGAGAGATTGCCAGTTGCTATTTTTCAACAAAGCATGCTCATGTGTTATTGCTAACTTTATGTTGCTACTAGATGTTTAATGCAAACGAACAAAATTTCCACAACCCTTTCCCCCAACATTTTAAACATTCACTCCCAATGAAATGTTCTGACAATTTGGAAGTAGTGTAAGTGACAATTCCTCCTACGCCCTGGACTCCATTTTTTTATCTTACTGCTGTTCTTTATACATTTGAACTGAGATACTTTAATCAGCATTTCCCCTGTTATCATCAATACTAGAGAGCTGCCACTGTCACAAAGGATTACACTTTGTGTACCTACTCTGTGCTGTCTGGTTTTTGCTTCAAAAAAATAAGTCCTTATTTGAATAAGGCTTTATAACTTCTATCAAATAGAAGTTACTGGGAAAAACAATTTTGAAGGGTGGACAGATCCCAGTGTCAGAAGTGCAGAGATGCATCTTAAGACTTATTTAGCAACCTAAAGCCTGCTGCAGAAATTGCCCAGTCTACCAAGCTATGTATTTTTACATATTCTAACAGCAATCAGCAAATGAGCCATCTGCAGCCTCAGATGACTGGTTTTGTTGAGGTATTCAGTTTCCCTTATTGTTAAACCATTTTATGTTCTAGTTGTATGGACTTAAGATGAATTGTTTTCTATTTAATTTCCAGAAACCAGAAAACTGGTAAAGCCAGTACTATGACACTTACTGTTCTCATACAGCCCAGGGTAATAAAACAGCAATAGTCGTGGCAAGATTTGTTTCTGTATCTGTATATAAAGTTGTTTCTTCCAAGAAGTGGGAGTGCTGCTCTAAATGCCATAGTAAGTATGTCCATACAGGCGTATTAACAATCATCCATTTGGTGCTCAGTTGTCTAGACAAGTCTTCATCAGATTGTTGTGCCACATGCAGTCTGGTTGGGAAATGGAGATGTAAGAACTATATAGTTCCCCATTTACAACAATTGCTGTGCAAGCCTATTCTCTTGAAAGCAGAAGCATTCTTCAGTGATGGGCACTCCTCTTTTGGGCACTTTTGTAGAGAACACTGACACAATAGGAGTAATCAGCTGAACTTTAAAGAAATGGCCAATTTTTGTACATGTAAGATTTAATGTGTAACTTGTTTGAAGCTCACCTCAACATTTTCAAGACTTTTGTAGTACACAGGCCCTACAAAACCCTAATTGCTGTGATGCAATACCTTCCTGCACTCCTCACATAACATATGGGGACACTTTATGTGCCTTTTCAGTGTCTTTTTTCACCCCATATCTCTCTAAGACTTGGCAGCATTACACATTCTCATGAGAAAAGATTTTTCATATGCAAAGCTGCTTATGACTGCTTATAGATGTGAAAAATTAGATTCATGAAATATACTTTTTTTTTTACTGCGAAGGTACTAACAACAACAATGGAAAGTATTTGCTTCATGCAGGCTGTGATACTGAACATTGCTACAGTTACTGACTCCCAGCATCCACAAAGACTGCCTGTGCAGATTTTCACTGCACTTTAGCTTAGATACTTAACTCGATGGCTGACAACTTCTCAGCATCTCAAGGGATCTTTATATCTTTTCAAGATAGCAGAGTATCAGGGTGGTATTGCTATCCTCAGTAGGAACAAAAAGCCAGGGTGATTAGTCCACTGTTGCACAGCACTCTTGCGATGCACCAGATCTTCTACAGGCATAGTCCAGGAGCTTCACATAACAAGGTCTTGTAACAAAAATCCCGCAGACTTCAATGCAGTAGTCATTACATATCTGTGAAAATCAAATACATCCCTGATCTGCTGTAATGGCTTCAGTTTTTCTATGGAACAGTGATTTGGTTGAAATCCAGTTTTGACTTTGAGAGCTGTGAGGGGACATTTAGAACGCAGTTATGTGCATCTCCTTTTTATGTATTTTTGCAAGCTTTGTAAGAACTAAATCTGAACAAGGAATAGGTACAATTGCAGTGCATCTTCAAGACTTTTATTTAAAGCCGTCCTATACCTTATTTTTAATTGTTCTCCAATTTTTGCCAGTTTTGGTTAGATAATCATCCCAATATCTATAGATACTAATTGCTTTTTGTTTCTTAGGGAACACGCAAGCTTCATCATGGGAGCTGTAGTAGCTGATGATGGTCCATCTGGTGTTAAAGCCCCTGATGGAGGCTGGGGCTGGGCTGTCCTTTTTGGCTGTTTTATCATCACAGGATTCTCCTACGCCTTTCCTAAGGCAGTTAGTGTTTTCTTTAAAGAACTTATCCGGGAATTTGGCATTGGATATAGTGACACTGCATGGATTTCCTCCATTCTGTTGGCCATGCTTTATGGAACAGGTGAGTAGTTATCTGTTTTTGAAACAGTATTGTGTCATACAATGAAGTTTGTAAATCATACGGCTATTTACAGCATGTATCATGACTGCTTATTGTTACTTGTGTGCAAGTAAGGCATTCCAAAGAAGCATTACTATAAATCACATAAATCAGTTATTTAAATTCAGCTTGGATTTAAATTAAGCCTCTGTAACTCAGTATTTACTAGATGATGCAAAAGAAAAATTGCACAGCACTCTGAAGACAAAAAAGATAAGTATTTGACTGTAGAGGAAAGAACACTCTTCCTGATTGGCTTGACTGTATGGAGAAAGCAGGAAAGAATCACAGAATCACTGAGGTTGGGAAGACCTTAGACCTTTAAGATCATTGACTCCAACCTCTGTGAAGTCCACCAAAGAAGAAATGCAAAGTGACGTAAAATCAATCCCAAAGATTCGTTTATCTTAGCAACTCTAACTTGCTTTTCTTGCCTAGGTCCACTGTGTAGTGTATGTGTCAACCGCTTTGGCTGTCGTCCTGTCATGCTGGTGGGTGGCCTCTTTGCCTCCATGGGGATGGTGATAGCTTCCTTTTGTACAAGCATCGTTCAGATCTATCTAACTGCAGGTGTGATTACTGGTACGTAGTGTGTATTGCTGAAAATGAGTTAACGTATGTCTTAGCTTTAGGTTGAAGTTTTCTAAATGTGATAAATACCTGAAGCATCATGATCACCCAAATGGATTTTAATAAAAATGGCAGATAAATGTGGAATTAAACTGTCATTTATTTTTGCTATGAGTATTTAATAGCATGAAGTGTAATCATAAAGTACAAGAATATTATGGAGGTGGAATGCTTTAAAAATGTTACTTTAGATTTCTTCTGTCCATTTGGAATAAAACTATTTTCTCTTTATGTATAATCATAATTTCTTTAATAGTGATACTGTAGGCCGGTATTATTTTTTATGTATCCTGTGTTACAGGTTTGGGTCTGGCACTAAACTTTCAGCCATCACTCATCATGTTAAACCGTTACTTTGACAAACGCCGGCCCTTGGCCAACGGGCTCTCTGCCGCTGGGAGTCCAGTGTTTCTTTGTGCTCTATCACCGCTGGGGCAGATACTACAACATGAGTATGGCTGGAGAGGAGGATTCCTTATACTGGGTGGGATGCTGCTCAACTGCTGTGTATGTGGAGCACTAATGAGACCTTTGGAGCCACCCAAAAAGTCTGAAGCTACCAAAGAGCCAGCTGAGAAGAAAGTGAAGAAAAAACTTCTGGATTTCAGTGTGTTTAAAGATGGTGGTTTTGTAATCTATGCCCTAGCAGCATCTATCATGGTGCTTGGCCTCTTTGTTCCCCCAGTTTTTGTTGTGAGTTATGCCAAGGATTTAGGCTATCAAGACACCAAAGCAGCTTTTCTTCTGACTATTCTGGGATTCATTGATATCTTTGCTCGGCCTATTTGTGGAATGGTAGCTGGTCTTAAATGGGTTAGACCACGCTGTGTCTACCTCTTCAGTTTTGCTATGATTTTCAATGGTTTCACAGATCTCATGGGTTCGATGTCTGTTGATTATGGTGGACTGGTGGTCTTTTGCATTTTCTTTGGCATTTCTTATGGAATGGTAGGTGCTCTTCAATTTGAAGTTCTCATGGCTATTGTTGGTACTCAGAAGTTTTCCAGTGCTATCGGTTTAGTGCTCCTGGCAGAAGCTATGGCTGTTCTAATTGGTCCGCCATCAGCAGGTAAGTATTCCATTTAGTTCAGAATTCAAAACCATATGCACCGCATCCATTTACACAAAATTTAAGGGAGCAGAGAAAAGGATGAGAGTCACTCAAGAAATGCAGATTGTGCCAGTGTTGCACATGCTTCGAAGGCTTTCTGCAGTTACACTCTGAAATAGACCAAGAAGAGGTGGGATGAATCTTTTCTCCTTCTCGGATCCATTTTTAGTATTGGTTAAATTGCCATCTGGAGATGCTGCTGTTTCTCCTCTGAAAACCTGCACTGAATCTCTTATTGGCAGATATCTGATTGGGATTCAGAATATGAAACCTGTCAATTTTCTTTGGAAAGCACTAGGACAGATTCTCTATACCCATGGTAGTTTTGGAGAAGAAAACATTGGAAGAAAAAAAATCTTACAAGGAGTATAAAACTGGACTACTTTAAGGGAGGTAGACTGCTTCTATTGCACTTGAGTCACAACCCAAGAATAAGGAAACGACAACATAGTCAAATTCATTAATTTGAAGTAAAAATGAAAATTAATTACTAATCAAAGAACATATATTTTACAGATCCTGAACTGAAACACACTTTGCCTCCCAAACCCCAACAGTTCATTGACATAAAATATTTACACCATACACTAACAAACATGAAGTATTTTTATTGTGACAGAACCCCCTTCATGGGAGTTCTATGGAAGTACTATGGAAGTATTATGGAAGTACTATGGAAGTACTATGCACTACTTCCTTTGATCTTCAGGTTCAGAGAGGCACTTCCTTCACATTCTCCCACCTGTTCTTTCACATCCACCAAGTCCTGTGAAAACTTAACTTTACTAAAGTGTCAGAATCAGTCAATTACTCCAGACTGACTACTAAGTAAGATTTGCATCTTAAGCAGACAGCCCATGGAGAAAGTTAAATGAGATTGGGAGCAAGAGGAAGCTGATGATACAGATCCTGGCCACAGATGTACACATTTTTATCTGAAATACATAGCACTTGTTTCATCTCTTGCATATGAAGGCTAGGCTGGTTTTATTTCAGTCAAATTGCATGACTGTGTGTGTGCATGGGAGTATGTGTTTTGGGATGCGATATAATGTCAGTGACTGCTAAATTGAACTGAAATAATTGAGAAATATTTTGTTATAAACTTTTTAAAATCCCATTTCGAAAAACTTGCTTATAGATAGTCATGGTAATTCTAGACAGCAGTGATATAAATGTTTAAAAAAAGCAGAAAAAATTCGCTGCAAAATAATTGCTTTTGTTAATTATCTGAAATGTTACCTTTTTCAGGAAAACTCCTCGATGCAACAGGGAGGTACATGTTTGTATTCATTATTGCTGGAATTGAAGTTACCACCTCAGCACTTGTATTGGCCTTGGGAAATTTCTTCTGCATTAAGAAAAAATCGGAAGAACCACATACAAAAGAAGAAGCAGCAGAAAGAGAGGAATTAAACAAATCTGAAGACAAAACTCCTGAAGATGCCAAGGTGGACTCTATTGAAGTGGAGCAGTTTCTGAAAGATGAGCCTGAAAAAAATGGCGAAGTTGTAACTAACCCAGAAACATGTGTGTGAGCATGACAGGGAATTGAAAAGTGTTTAGAAAAGAAAGATTTCCAACACTATTTATTTTAGAAACAGAACTAGTTTAGGGCTGGGCCATCTGCTTTAGTAACTGGAAGCTAGTCAGCTCATCAGATCTCTTTGGAAGCTGATTAGCTGGACAACTTCTCATTGGAAAATCAGCTTTATCAGCAAAAGGTGGAGCATTGTGATTATACTTTTTATGTAAACTAAAAAGCTTTTATAAACACAAGTAGGCTCTTGCTATGCATCACCAGAAACTGCTCACTTGGAAGAGATATAGGAAAAGTATATTTTAAGAAAAGTGGACTTATACGTATGTTTTCAGACAATATTGATGAAATCGCTGTGTTGTGTGACTAAGTATAATTTCCCTGTGTTCTTTGTGAAGGGAAAAGAGTTTGAGATGGAGAAAAATCTCAGGAACTTAACGGTCTCCATTAGGTTTTTGAATTTCTTACCTTTTTAGATTTTTTAGATTAATTGGCTCAGTCCTAATTTAATTTTGATAATATCTGTAACTTTGACTTATGTAAATGTATTTCTGAGTTCTGTCTAAACCTGTAACCTTTGTAATTATCATCTGGAAATTCTGTTTGTGAAAAGGCATATTACAGATAGTGTCCTGATTAGATGACACAAGTGGTATTCTGAGGTAGTATACTGAAAGAAAAAAAATGAGCAGAATTGATCCCGACAGACCTTAAGCAAACAAAATTAGCCTACATTACATATACTGTGTTCAGTACGATTTCCATAGAGCATTGAAAAATATTACGAGTAACATGGAGAACATGGATATTAGATTTAGTAGAATATTCTGAAAAAGTGTCCATTTTGTATATAGAAAAAGTGGTGCTAGTTTCCAGATGTCCTATAAATTAGAGTGGGTAGACTTAGGGAAGAGACTGGACTAGTTTGAAACATGTTAGCCATCTATAAAACGCAATGTTAGCATCACAGGAAGGTCTTAACAAGTTTGGTTTTGGTTTGTTTTCTTGTCTTCCCCTCTTCCCCTCCCTCCCCCCCCCATTTATCCCACTTCCCTATCCTTTTGCTTAATCTATGGAAGTTCAAAGTGCCATTCCTGCTGGCTAAGGAAACACGACAGAACTGTTGATCATATTTATGACAGCACTGCACTGAAATAGAAAAGGAAGGCATTCTATTTTTTTTCACCCAAACACATTGAAGAAATGTCATTTTTTTGTACAAAATCATGCTTCTGCAGCTTACCTTTCAGATCTGCTTATAAAAATCTGTCTAGGCTTTGTGACTGCAGTAACAATCTTCAAAACAGACTAAGTGTAAAAGATCTGGTTTTCTTACTGGTAGCGAAGGAATACTGGCTTTCAGGTGCCAAAATTGTTGTGCTTGATAACTGAAAACTTAAAGATGCTAATCCCCTAAAACCCTATATCCCTTTTAAATTAACATCATTAATTGTTTCATACTTTACCATTATTAACAGAAACAAAGTGCCAAAACCATGAACTATCTCAGCTACCAGCTTCCATTCTGCTAGTTTCTTCAGAATGGCTTTGCATCATTAGGACAACCTTGTACAAAAATTGAGAAGTTAGGATCTTGACTTTTAAAAGAAATAGATGCTGCACAGAATAAACTGTTTATTTTTATATCTCATGTAGTGTGTTACTTTAAAGCCTTTTATTAATTTAGTGGCAGGAAATGCAGTGACATTTCCCAGTTACAAGAGCTTAGCCATGGAACTTAGCTCCAGTTTGCTAAAGACTAAATTGATACTTGAAACACAACACTGCTAGCTCCAGAAGGCAAGAGAAAAATGGAATCCACAGAGTAGTTTATCGTATCCCTACGATACGTTTATTTATCGTATCCCTAGAAGCTGCTTCAGATGATACATGAAAACCTGATACAGTTTTCAGATTGGGGTTCCCCGCTCTGTTTCAAAAAGCAAAAACTGGAAATGTTCCCAAAGGTGAATTCAGATTCTCAGCCATTTTTGTCTTACTGTGGCTTTTGAAAGATTTCTTTGCTAAATAATGCTACGCTGTTATTACACAACTAAATGGTTATTCCTTTAACCTCAGGTTTTGGCACAATTTTAAGTTTCTGTACATTCTGCAAATTGTCTAGATGGCTTTGTATGTGACAGAATATCCTTTGTGCTTATCATACTGACTTTCCAGACTTGTGTTTCATTTTTCATACATAATACTTTTATGACTAAGCTGAAACGAGAAGTGTTATGTTACAATTTTATATGATTGAGGCAGAAGAGGAAGTTATGAAGACAGTGGAAAGCCATTTCAACAAGACACCCTAAATAACCTCGGAAGTAAAACCTAGTGTTCACAGGAAGGGCCTTTGACTCAAGGATGAATTACTCTGACTAGGACTGCCAGTGTTCTTGAGCTGTTTTCAGCACAGACCTACCACTGGATTGAGGTGTTCATAACAGCAGGAGATGCTTTACTACATGAGTGGTCAAATCACAGGACTCCTTTATCGACTGAGAAATAAAAGGGCTAGAATTTAATTTGCTAAGAAGTTTAAAAAGCTTTTACCATTTTCATTAATTACAAGAAGCATCACCACAAAGATGAGGAGCTCCCAATGCAGCTCTCTTAGCAACACCAAAACTGGCAGGCTTAAGAGTATTTCAGAGTTCTGGAGTCAGTTAAGCTCCCTGCTCCCATTCTGTCCCATCCAAAGGTAACACCCAGGTGTGTGCAAGCCCTCCAGTCCTCTATCTGTTCGGCTGCCTTAATTCCCTTGGAAAGAAATTGCTTATATTGATGGGAAAGAAACCTCCATCCATGCCAGATCCCAACCTGGACACCTGTTGGCCAGTATGAGGGTGTGCTGCAGCATGTAAAACTGCTCCTATTGACACAGGCCACAAAGGCCTTCACATTGAGCTCCTGTTTTACAGACCTTCCTCCTTCCTACACCAAGACTTAAAAAAAAAAAGCAAGCAGCGAATCCTTTGGTTCCTAGCACTGTCTAGCCAGGCTCCTTATTTTAACTCTGCTTACTGTGTATTTAATATTTAAATATACGTGTAAATAAAAATAAATATATATAAAATATATTTTGTATATTTAAAAGCAAGGAATTGCTTTTAAATCCCTCCAGGTATTTTGGTATAGTATTTCTTTAATCCCAACACCACTGAGATCCCCCTAAAGGCAGTCTGTGAGATATGCTCTTCCAAATATTTCGAGGATGCGCATGGTCAGAGTCAGAAAGCAATGCTAAAGAGACACTAATGCCCAAGGACACAGGCAGAACAGTTTCATGCGACATCTACCCAGACGAACCTTTGTTCACCCTCTACCTGGTTAAAATTTTGTGATTTGAAAAAAAAGGAGAGGGAAAAGGAAAGGAATGCAGGTAATTATGCAACTGAATTGCCAAGCATCCAAAGATTATAATTTGCTCCTTCCTTTGAAAGAAAGGTAATTTCGTTAGACACGTAGTTGGTAAATACATCTCTAAGAAGTCTATAAAGCAAACAATCAACGGAAACAAGTGCAAAAAATCCAAGTATAAGACTATAAAATTGCTGAAAGACAGTTTTCATAGATTATGCCTCTGAAACTAAAGGGCAGTCTTTTACTGAACAGGTGAGCAAAATTTTTGAAGCATTTTAGATCTTCATACTTTCTATAAATTGTATACTACAGGATTTATGCTTAAAATACTGTATGTTTTTTGTGTAATTGACCTTAAGCCCTTATCTTCCTGATGCAAGGAGAGGAAATGTGTATAAATGTCAGGAACGCACAGAGACTATATAAAGAGGTGTACATGTGTATGCGCATATATATTTGCATATATATGTATCAATCTATATGTATCAAACATGCAGCAGAGTAAATAGAGACAGTTCGCCCATTTATTATAGGCAATGAGCAGAGTTAAAATTATTTCCTTCCTCCTCCTAAGTTTGCCTTTCTAAAAATTCTAAATAAAATATCTTGCAGCTATTTGGAGCCTAGAAGACCTCAGTAGAACTAAAAGTCTTCAAGTGATGCAGCTATCTGTTTAAAGCTAAGCCAGTTCCCTAAAGTTAAGACTTGAGATGGTATGAAGGTATGGTGTGAAGGACTGAACAGTTCTTGTGCTGGTTAATATTAAATCCCATACACAAAAACGTGTGTTAAGCAATGTAAAAATCATTCTCTAAAAAGAAGTTAGAATACTCCCCTAACCAAGCAACCAAACTTCAAAATGAAAAAAACAGAATTCACATATGCACCATTGGTACATCCCAAAGAAAAGGTTTAGTTTGGTAGACAATCACAAACAGAGGAATTTCAGCAGAATGCAAACTCTTCCATGTTATAGGGCTAAGTACTCACTTATGTGTGTGTGTGTGTATGTGTGTGCGCACCACCCTTTCTTTAGGATTATGGGAATACACCTCAATTTTGTCCAAGTGAGATGAAATTTTGTTTCTTGTTAACGCACTTTAATGTAATGTGTACATTTATACTTAGATTTTTTTTTTATGCTTTTCTAGTAAACTATTGCAAATGTAGTGAATAAATATCTGATTGTCAAAACCTGTGGGTTTGAGAAAATAAGCTCAGAAAAAATAACTTTAACACCCAGATTTGGAAATTTGGCTCCATTTGCACACGCTCAAACAGCTATACAGAGGCAAAGTGTTTATAGAGAAGAAGTGACACTTAGCTGACAGGCAGCCAGAATTTTATGTGGGCAAAGGGGCTGCTTTTGCCATGACTCATAGTTTGGCCAATTCCAAAATGGGTATGTCCTTTTGCTGTAAATGATCCCGAAGACTATTTTAAAGCATCAACTAATTTAAGAGCTATTAATTTTGTGCCGCTCTGTGTAAAAATTATTACTCTCTGAGGAGTGCTCCAGGTTTTGTTTGCAGGTGAAGTTTTATGAACTATTGTGACTTCTAAAGCCCTAAATATTTTGAGTAGTGACCTGCCAGCAAGCTGTCTATTGTCAAGTGCTGCTCTTTAGAACTTGAAAGTTCCTAAGAAAACAGTGTAAGAACACATTTATGGTGAGGGTTTTTTTGGATCTTATAATACCCTAGCTAAGACTGGCTCCTCAAGATATAATCTCAAGGCTACACTCAAGTGAATCAAAATTAGTCTCTTCAATGGAATAAGACCTACCTTTTGCTACATACAAGGCTGACACCTACTTCTGATTAATTCTAAGTATCTGGTGAGAAATTTCTGAGAAATCTTTCTAAGATCAGCTTCAACTGTATATTTACACTGAAAAGATCATAGGTGTAGTTTACATAAAACCCCATGTTTGAATAAATATATGATTACCTTTTTTATGCTAGTTTAAGTAAATTGGTAAGACCCCCCAGCCAGATCAAGATGTAGATATGCTGCTTCAGGAATCAATGTTACTGGGTAGACTGAAATGACAGAACTTACTAGCATGCGGCCCATCCTTGTGACAGAAAACTAGAGTTTAGCTTTGCCTCTGGTACTCCTTCAGTCTGAAAGAAAGAAGTAAGGCCATTTGCTGTAGAGGAAAATGGGCACAACCTGAGTTGCACACCTATTATTCCCTGCTGCTGGACTTGTTGGAGGAACATGATCCACCAATACTGGAAGAGTAAACAACCTTGACAATAGCAGAGTACTGCATATGAGAAGCCACGGCTTTGGAATGTATTATTTTAGTAGCTTTCTAATGCTTCTGGAATAGAGCTCATCTTCATCTCAGTAGGAAAAAGGTGCATCCACTAAAAAGTCAGGGCTCTTAAAAGCACTTTGCTAGTGACACGGTCTGTGAGATCAGGAGTCCTGTATTTGTCTGAGAAAATATGGCAAGTTAGAGACAGAGTAAAAAGCTACTTACCTCTGGTTATACACTGTTTGTTCCTTGACAGATCTCCATACTTGCTTCATCATCTCAGCAACATTCCAGCTGGCAATGTTCCTCACTACTCCAGATGAACGCTTCAGAGCATTAAGAAAGGACACCTCTTGCTCTCCTCACTCTTCATCTACTACTCTTTCAGCAGTTTAAAGCCTTTCACAGTAAATCTCTGAATCCAATGAAGAAGCATATCTAGGTTTTAGTATTTAAAATTCTGAAATTGCAAAAGGCTTTTCAGTCTTGCTGAAAAACATGCCATAAGATCAATTGCTGAAAATGACAATCAAACTTTAAATACAATTTCTTAGCAGTGAGAGCAGAGAAACATTTGCTGTTTGGGGTCTTCTAAGAAAAAATTCTGTGCATGACCTCAAATTACCCTGGTTTATGCTTTCCTTAAGGATTATGGGCAATACCAGAACCTCTGCATTGCCTTTGTGCCTGTAACACTTGCAGGTCTGAAGCAAGCTGAGGACTGTAATTAAACAAAATGTTTTTTCTTGTTATGGTCAAGACTAAACATTTTCTTGCAAGTGCATAATGTACAAATGAATTCTTGTTTTGTTCCACATCTCATCCCAAGCACCCTTGATTGCTCACAGCAAAGACACAGTAGATTAGGGCTTGATACTTTAGGATGATCCACACAATTTCTCCTTTTTCCACATTATTCTCTGTCCATTATGCTTACCTGTATCTCAGACCTAGATCGTACACATTTTGAATCAAGAATTCTCCCAAAATGAGATTAACAAAGAACACAATCTTAAAATTTTTTGTCCAAAGATGTATTTTTGTCGATTCTGTACGTATAGATCTCATTTCATTTTCTGTTGTCCCTCTGCCTGTAGCATGTGGTTTTGATAGAAGAACCAAAGCATACTAGTCTTAATAATATTAGGTAAGAAAAAAACAATAATGTCTGAGAAAAAGTCATAAAGTCTTAATCCTGTGCAAATATCTGCTGATAAAGTTAGTAGGATTTTGCTGTGAAACAGATTCTTACTGAAGATCAGGCCTCTGAGCACTCTCCTGGTACAAAAGTATTGAAAAATACACATAGCCTACACATTTCAGGTTCAAACAGTCACTTAAATCTAGACATATACATATAAAGTCAATAATTGTTGCCCGAATTAACCAGAGGGAAATGTACTGTTTTTAATAACAAAGTACTGCATTCTTTCACAGTAAAACCATTTTATTATTAACTTGTCTCATCCAGTGAATTTTAAAAGCTACTTTGCTGCAGGATTAAGTTCATGGATTACAATTCCTCACAACCAGATTAAATCTAGATTTCTGACTAGACAGCTCAGCACTATTAAAAAATGAGTAGCGTTGTTTGTTTTCACTTGATATTTTGTACACACCAAGTGCAGCTTTTGCAAAGCGAAAGTTGAACAAAATACAGACTTTTTTATTTCATTCTTTTACAAAGAGAAATATTCTTGAAATGAACATGTATGCTACAATGAGGGGTCAATGCTACACTTGGGTTTGGGACATGGGGAAACAAATAGTTGTGCTTATGATGTTTTACCCCACTGGAGAATAAAGGATGAGTTCTACATGCTGTCATCCAAGGGATATTTTGAATACTTCTGTCAAGTTAACATTGAATATATAGACTCAAATGTTTTTTAATTAATATCTCTCTTAAAGCACAGGATTTATTTTCAATTGTTTTTAAAGTACTTCTATCATGAAGAACTCAAGGACTCTATAACCATTCAAGATTACGTAAAACAGCAGCATAGGTGGTACTTTCCACACAAAAGCACATAACCAGTTCTAAATGAAAATTATGAGAATAAATTAAAATATCCTTCCAACTTTTAAAGGCCTGCTAATGAGAAACAGAAAGGATTCTTGAAGGTGCATCTGCCCTCAGGTTATAAGAAGACTTTTGAGAATAACACAGCAAAAGCCAGGATTTTATTATACAAGGCATTGTGGATAGAGCTCAGTATTTTTCTTGCTCTTATCTTAGCTCCCAAAACTGAACCAGTCTCAATTCTTTTACCATACTTCTTTATCAGTACCATGTATTACTTGATAAGCAAAAGCATTTGAAAGAAAATTCAACTTCTGGAAATGAAGCGATATTCAAACAAAAACATTTACCTTTAAAGAGACAAAATACATGCTTTCTGTGAGCAAAGCAATTAATACTTTCTCTTTCTTCCTGTATCCCCCAACTGCTGCATTCTGATCACAACTACCAAACTACCAAAATCCTTCAGTGCAAGTTTTGGTACTAAGACAGTATCTTCAAATGTTTGCAACTGACAGTATTCTTTGTGGGTACAGAAACCCCTAAAAAAAAAAAAAAAAAAAAAAAAGACGTTGCATCAACTAAAGGATAAGGATTCATTGTAAGTAAGTTACACCGAAGAAGAATAGAAGTTGATATGAATGTATTTACACAACTGTTAAAGTACACAAATACAGTGGTAGTACAAATGAAGCGCTTCGAGATACTAGTTTTCAGTACATAGGTTTACACAGACATTCTAACTATTTTCTGCATGATGGAATTTAACCATTATGAAGGACAAAAATTGCCCAGAAGTGACTACAATTCTAGAAGTCTGCAGTCAACTTTTAAGTACAGCACAGCAATCTAATGGTCCAGATACAGAGAGAATAAAAAGGCTGCTTTTGTAAATCCTTCACACGTTACATTATTAACCACAGATATTTACAAGGAAAGCACAGTGAAGTGTAAAATTGTTCAATGGTAGTGCACATGCCTAAAATACCAAAGTTTATAGTAACTGAGGAAGTCATTCCCGTATGCAAACTTATCTGTGTATCAACCTCTTAAGCTTTTCCACTATACTCTCCCCAAACATGTTTCCCCAGTCTGACCCGAAGTACACACAAGTAAATAGCTGACGTTATGAAAACACTCAAAGAAGAATGATAATATTTAGTATGTGGACTTCTGAGAGGGGCAAAAAAGAATTCGTGAAGACACAGTAAAAATTACTCTCCATAAAAATTTGAAGACCAATACACGTTTAAAAAATTGTTTCCAAGCAGGGAAGAATTTCTCAAAATACCTAACTGTTCAAACAAAATCTCTGTATATACTTTCATTTCCAACATGGAATTTTCCACTATTTCATTCATAATAGTTCTGATACTGTTCCAAGTACCATGAAGTCAGAACACCTACTTTTATGAGACCACTTACAGTAACAAACAATATGAGGAATTTCCCATATTTCATAACCAATAGGTGCTAACAACAGCTTTCTGGACAACTTGAGCACGTTGAGTCATTTATGCCTAGCTAATGATTCTGGGCATACTCAGGTTGAATATAGTTAAGAATTAATTATGGTATGCACCTGGATTGTAAAAATTCTGAGGATTTCACAGCAAGAATAGGTTGTTATGTTTGGGGGTGGTTTTGTTGTTGGTTTTTTTTTTTTTATAATTCCTTTTTTGAGTCTTGGCGTGTCACAAAAGGCCTATATCAATTCATTTATTTTTTATAAGCATGTGAATGCTGAATGAAACACACAAATTCACTGAAGACTCAGTAGCAACATCTATTTTCCACTTGCAATAGCCTCCAAGCTAACCAGCCTCAGAGATGCGGAAACAAAATCTTCCCAGTAAAAACAATGTTTGAAACTATCCATTTACTCAAACTAAGCAGAGAGATAGGACAAGTTGTCAAGTTCTAAAT